TATATATATATATTCATTTTAACTAAATGTTACAATCAAATGCCATTGCTACCTGCATACATCAATGTATAGGTAGGCAGCACTGGGCCCCGTAGCAGTTGGATGGTGTGCGATGGCTCTAGTTATGCCCTTGTTTTCTGGCTACCCATAGCAGTCAAACTTTTTCTTTTTCAGTGCCGGAAGGAAAAATAACATGCTAACTAGTTTTCATGGCTAATAGGGACAAATGCCTTCCTTTAGAACATTTCACTCATGAGGTCCCTTGTGCTATGCAGTTCCCACTCACAAGATGATCTCACACGGCTAATGCTCTCTATGGCTATAGAGTTGCATGACCCTTAGCATTTGTTATAGATTTGTTATAGATTTGTATAGCAGGGAGGTGGCTGCAATACTGCAACACTGGCAGAAACCTATAGGACAGGGAGAATCAGAAAAACAGCCCCATGCTACTTTAAGGGCAAGTCCACAACAGATCAATAGAAAATGAAGAATCCGGAAAACGGTCTCTTGCTGCCTCAAAGAGGTCCCACAATAGACTAAGGGTTTGTATGTTTGAGCATTTGTTCATTTCAAGTGAGTTTTTAATTCCCATACAAATCTATAAGAATTCAAAACCAATTTAAAGCTGGTCAAATGCATCTATCAATGAATTCTGAATGATATCAGACGTGTCTCAAACTGATGCCATCAGGCCCTTGCTGCCTTTGAGTCTTGTCCATATCAGACCCTGAAAGTACCATTGTTATTGCTCTGATTGCTATTATTAAAATGGACTATGCATATGTCAGTGTTCTCAGTGGTTACTAATTTTCCCATTTTACCTAGGTAGCCTACATCGGTGGCAATTCATGTATAGCTTTGCTACAAGTTGATTGCAAACTGCATTCATTTTTATGTATTTATATTTCAAAGTGTCAGATTTTGAACATAAAAATTCTGACATAATCAGAGTTGAATTATAAGAACCCTGTTCATCGTGTACCCCGACTAGGGCGCCACACGAATGACAAAAGACGCGAGATGGATCTCGGCCTCTGGGCACCAAGTTATAATTTGTTGTTAGCAAACGGATAGATGGGGTAATGCATTATGCACAACATTTGATTAGAATTATATTTATATAGGATATCTGTCAGGCTTGTTACAGCAAGCTTAGGCCTCCCGGGAAGCTATGTTAGACTTTCAAATTGAATGCTGTAGCCTCATATTGCTGACAAGTTTACGAAGTAACAAATAATACAAAAAGTTTATACAGTATTAATACTAATCATCTGGATTTTGGTGTGCTCTGCAACCAATGTCCATACCCTATAAAAAAATATTGTCATTTCTTAAAGGTTAATGCACGTCTGTTGCAGCAGGGAACCAAATCTACTAATACTGAATATGTAACATTTCTTAGAAAGATTTTCAAGAATTCTTGGAATGAACAGTGCAGAGTAATTCAATCTTCCATATTTTCATTCTATTTTATGTGAAAACAAAATGTTGATTCATGAAAAATGGAGCAAAGAAAATGAAGTTAGCCATCACAGTCAAATTCTGTAGTTTACTTTCAAATGTTGTTTCTGGACGGTACTGGTTGGTATTGGCTATGTCATTAGGATCTTTCACACAAGTGTAAAACTCTTTCTACTTATCTCCACCTCATTCTACCACTGTTTACTGCTCCAGAAAACCAGAGCTTTTGTCATTTCATGTGGAAAACTGACACTTAATAAAGAGTGTGCAAAGGTCAAAAGTTAATTGCATTAACAAGGATGTCACCTTTTATGGTGACAGCTGCCTCAGAGAGGATTTTTCCATCACTTTGGAAAGATTTTCTTTCACTTTTTGTTGTGTGCCTGGAACAAGAAGTGGAGGTAAATCTTCCAAATGAGACACTGACAGCAAAAAAAAATGACTAGGGCAGCCTTTCTACAACATTTTTACCATGACTGAGCCCTTGAAATAATGTTCAGGTTTCAGGGAACCCCTGCTAAAAATAATTATATCTGCAGCTCATGGTACATTAGTGGTCAGTAAGAGAAGTGGATATTTACACTGGTGGTCAGTGAAAAGAATGCTCATTACAATGGTTGTTGGTGTAGTGCCCCCATGCATTGGAAGACATTAGGGAGAAGGTTTCTTAAAATTAGAAGTCAGTGGGAAGAACATCCCCCTTACAGACAACTAACATGATCGTTGGTGACAGACAGACCAGAGGAAAAACTCTGAAGTGCTGGGTAACTAAATGTCTATATAGGGAAATCAGGACCTTCTTCCTAATGCTAGGGATCCCTCTAGTGATAACGGAAGCTCTATATAAGGGAATCAGGACCTCTTCCCTTCTGGTGGTGATCCCTCTAGTGATAACTGAAGATCTATATAAGGGAATCGGGACCTCTTCCCTTCTGCTGGTGATCCCTCTGGTGATAACTAAATATCTTTTTAGGGGATTCAAGACCCCCTTTCTCCAGCTGGTGTTTCCTGTTGTTCTGACAGTTTTGAATTGACCCTAACCCACACTATGGTATATCTTTAAAGCAGCACTCCAGGCAAACCTTTTTGTAATACAATCTGCTGTGTTTCCCCCACACTCCAAAAACATGCTGGTAGGTTAACTGGCTCCTGTCTAAGTTGGCACTGTATGTGTGTTAGCATGTAAAGTAGGGATTTTAAATTATAAGTTCCTTGAGGGCAAGGACTGATGAGAATGTACAATATGTACAGTGATGTGTAGATTGCTGGCACTATAGAAATACCTGTAATAAATTCTAAATAAATAAATGAGGTGTATGCCTCTGTCATTTCTTTAATATTTAGGCTTGTCCATTTGCAGAATGCTTTGTATTCTGTGAATCATTGACAAAATACAAGGCATTCTGTGAATAGGCAAGGAGAGGGTGGTATAAACTACACTGTGGCTTCCCTGTATGAAAGCTGCAGTTGTCATACCCACGGGGGGTCAGAAGTAAAGCGAGGGGCTGAAAGTGTAAATAATAAAGAAATGACAGTGATCCTTAAAGCGGCATACACCTCATGAGAGTTAACTTTTTTTAGACAGCAGAGTTTAATAAAAAAAACATTTTGCCTGGAGTTCTGCTGCCCCTCTGGGCTACAAACTCTTTTTTTTTTTTGGTTGAACCCATCTAAAGTCACTTGAATGAACTGTGTCAAGACAATTAAACAAGATTTAGTTATGTTTTTCTAGCCTGCCACTGTGAGGCATGGTGTACCATGCAGTGGAATTCTTTATGTTGCTGTACCCAGTATCCGATATAATCACCTACCTAAGCCAAAGAGCCGTTGTACTTGTTAGTCTGATATTTTGGAGATTTAATTTCTTAGGATGGAGG